GGCAGGGCAGGAATAAAGACAAAGACATAGAGAATGGACTTGAGGACACGGGGGTGGGGGAGCGAGGTGGGGGGGGAGGGGAAGGCTGGGGCGTATTGACAGTAGCACCGACATACATACACTACCAAATGTAAAATAGAGAGCTAGTGGGAAGCATCCGCACAGCACAGGGAGATCAGGCCCGTGCTTTGCGGTGACCTAGAGGGGTGGGATAGGGAGGGTGGGAGGGAGGCTCAAGAGGGAGCGGGTATGGGGATATACAGGTATGCACATGGCTGATTCACTTTGTTGTACAACAGAAACTAACACAGCATTGTGAAGCAATTATACTCCAATAAAGATGTATTAAAAAGAAAAAGAAGCAGCCACTCTCGAGTTCGTTCAGAGTGCGTAAGTTTCCACGGAGCAGGTTATGGGCCGAAAGTTCTGCAGTTCTCAGAGCTATCTGCCAGTAGGAGCTCCTAAACATTTAAAATCACCCATTCTGCAATCTACCATCCGCTTGCACTGTTCCCTGCGCTGCAATCACGCAACAAAGTGGGCAGTACAGGGAGCGAAGGGGCAGTGGAGAGCCGGGGAGCGTGAGGGCGGGTGAGCAGTTACGCTGAGTCGCAGGGCCCCGGGAAGGGGGAGAAGTAAAGCGAAAGTGACCGCTCCAGAGACAGTGGGCAGCCAGGCCTCTGGTGTGGGGCCTCCCGAACCGCCCCCAAGGGCACCTGAGCATCTCACTTCGCTTTCTGCCTCGCTTCTCTCGGCTACTTCCTGGTCCTTGGTGCCCAGTTAGGCGTCTCCTCCCTGCGCACAGCCAGTCCTTTCGGCGCGCGGAAAGGGTGCCAGGGCCGGTGCCTGGGCCAACTCTGGTTCCTCCCGCTCGCCTGCAGCCTTGAGCGCCCGGGCGCCCTCCCCACGCCAATCGCTGCCTAGTCCGCTCTCAGATCCACGCCCGCGATCGCTGGGTCATGGGCGCCGCCGGCTCTTCCGCGCTGGCCCGCCTGGGCCTCTCCGCGCCGCAGCCCCGGCCCCGCTGCCTCGGGGTCGCCGCGCTGGGACTGGCCGCGGTGGCGCTGGGGGCCGTGGCCTGGCGCCGCGCGCGGCCCAGGCGGCGCCGGCGACTGCAACAGGTGGGCACCGTGGCAGAGCTCTGGATCTACCCCGTCAAGTCCTGCAAGGGGGTGTCGGTGAAGGCGGCGCAGTGCACGGCCCTGGGGCTGCGCAGTGGTCACCTGCGGGACAGGTAGGGCCGGGCGCGGCGACAGCGCAGGACCTGCTGAGGAGGGAGGGAGCGGGGCTGGGGAGCTGGGGCCTGTCCCAGGGTAGGAGAAAGGGAGGTTTGCCACGTGCGTGTCCTGGGCTGCTAGTTGGATCCTCTGCCTTTGGTCCTGAATCTGGAAAGGTGAAGTTCGTGTCTGGTGCAGATTTGGAAAGGTAGTGGAGGCAAGATGTTAGCGCAAGTTCCTGTGCCCGAAGACACAGTGAGGCCAAACAAACCGAAAGGTTGGAGTTTGGAACAGAGAAAGGTTCATTGCAAGTCCATGCAAGGTGACAGGTGGCTCAGGCCCCCCAAGACCCAGAGCTCCCTGAAAGGTTTCGGCAAAGCATTTTTAAAAGCTGTGACAAAGTGAGAGAGTGGCATGGACATATATACACTACCAAACGTAAAATAGATAGCTAGTGGGAAGCAGCCGCATAGCACAGGGAGATCAGCTCGGTGCTTTGTGACCACCTAGAGGGGTGGGATACGGAGGGTGGGAGGGGGGGAGACGTAAGAGGGAAGAGATATGGGAACATATGTATATGTATAACTGATTCATTTTGTTATAAAGCAGAAAATAACACACCACTGTAAAGCAATTATACTCCAATAAAGATGTTAAAAAAAAAAAAGCCAGGTGAGCCAGGGGGGTGTCACAGGGTATGTGACACAATTCTCCAACTGGTTGATGGTGAGGTAAGAGGACGGTGTCACAGGGGTTAACATCATCATTCCTTTGGCTCCAGGAGGCCTGGGGCTATGCACTTTTGATCAAGTAGTTAACATCTTCCATTTGATGGGGGGTTGTCACATCTGTAAAACAATTCAGGAAATGTGCATCAAATACTGTTATCTGGCTTCCCTGGTGGCGCAGTGGATGAGAGTCCGCCTGCCGATGCAGGGGACACAGGTTCGTGCCCCGGTCCGGGAAGATCCCACACGCCATGGAACGGCTGGGCCCGTGAGCCATGGCCGCCGTACCGCAAAAAAAAAAAAAAAAAACCCTTAAGAGGACAGCAGTCTTCAGAGAAGAGAGAATACATGTGTCCTGGAGTGATCTCAGGACAGCAAACAGCCTCTCTAGAAGGCTCCCTGAGTGACCAATTTGCAAACCTCCCTCCCCCTAGACACAGGACCACAGTTAATCCATCCAAGCCAAACAGGAAAGCATCTTCATCCTAAGGAAGCAAAGAAGGAGGTTCCCTTCGTCCTTGTTCACTCCTTTTAGGGTTTAGCATCCTTCTCTGTCAAGAGTGCTTTCCCCGTGTCGAGCGGCACCGTTCTCTGTCCATGAGTATGTGTCTGTGGACTCACCTTTGGGGGGAGAAAAATGACTGGGCACCTTTTCTTTTCTGAGGGAGGAGGATGAAATTTCTATGTGCCAGGCCTTGTGTAGGTAGGGACTTTAGAGTTCTTCACTGAAAAGCACTCTGCCTCTGGGGGGAGGGGACACACTTTTGTTTTAATGGCAAGTATTATACGCACAGTCAACCTGTCACCTCCTCTCCCCAAAGGAAGACTTCCCTCTGCTCATTCTGTATCAAAGTGGGTCAGGCCCCCCCACCGCCTGCGTCTCCCAAGTACCTTCCCCAGCACCAGAAGCTGTGAGGGGCAAGCCCCAGCAAGGCCAAAGCCAGTGTCCTTGAATAAGACTTGGTTTCAGCATTGCTCCCATCTACCCACTAGTGCCAATAACGTTTTATCTTTCTACGATTGTGCTCATACTAAGAATCAGAAAGCTTAGAACTAGAAAGAGCCTTGGAGATAACCGTTCGGACCCTGTCCTTTTACAGACCCTCTCCTCCAGGGGGCGGGGGCAGAGGATTTGTAACAGAGCAGGACTCTCTGAGGCCTTCCCAGGACAGGCCCTTCCCCCATACCCTCTGCTTTAGCTTCTCTCTGAAGTACCTAGATAATAGTATTTTTCATTTATTCATTTATATATATTTTTTTGCGGTATGCGGGCCTCTCACTGCTGTGGCCTCTCCCGTTGTGGAGCACAGGCTCCGGACACTCTCAACCACTGCGCCACCAGGGAAGCCCACCTTTGCATCTTTTATTGTGGTCTTCATCCTACCGCAGTGTTGGGCTGCTTGCAAGTTGCCACCTGCCCCTTCCATTGCAGGATTAGCACAGAACCTCTAGCCACCACTTCTACTATGTCCCAGGGCTTAATCCCCAGGTGATTATACAACAGGCAGGAGCTGGGGGCGTGGCTTGAGAGCCAGAGTGAAGGGCTAAAGTTGGGGGATGGACGGCAGGTGAGAAGACTCAGCCCAGGGAGGAGGCTGACTGCCAGAAATAATGGGCCATTGGGCTTCCCTGGTGGCGAAGTGGTTGAGAGTCCGCCTGCCGATGCAGGGGACACGGG